CAAAAGCCCAGATTGGGGAAGCGAAGGAAAACAAATACATGTTTTTGCTCAATTTATTTAGGGAGAGTTTCAGTGAAGGAAACTCCAGTAAATTATTTGGGTGAGACAAAAGAATTTGGTCTCAACTTTCCATCTTTTAAACCTGTAGTGACTGCAACAGAAACCCCCTTTGTGTATGGTGGAACTAACAGGGCTGGACAGTGCCTTTGCAGCTCCTTGGCTCAAGGATTTCTGCCTTCAGGCAGATACTAGGATAAATTAAATCATTCTAGCTGTCCCTTGCTGACTTTGGACAGTTAAAGATTGTATATGCAGGCTTTGAAAAAACAAAACAAAATGAAAAAACAGTGAGATTCTGAGTTTAAATAACACAGAAAGTGAGACAAATTAAGATCTGGTGACAGTCCAAAGAAAGACAATCTAGCTCTGGGAGAACTGGCTTCGTTGTAGAACAAACGGACAAACAAAATGGTTTGGGGCCCATAAAATTTTCTTTTAAAGAGTATTCTCCAGCTTATTCAGGGAGAAAATGGAGAATCTTGACAGGTTGGGCTGTGTTGTTTTTTTTTAAATTAAAGATTGGCACTTCGACATCTCCAGGGCAGAAGGATTCTACTGGCTCTTCAGAGATGCTCAAATCTGAAGTGATATCCTTCCATAAGGGTAGAGATGGAGAAGCTGATATTTAACAATCTGGCCTTCTGCAGGATGTCAAGGATTCCTCAAAATGCAGCTTCTTACAACTACATAAGTCAGCTAATCTAAGATGTTACCTCAGCTTGCAAATCTTGCCCTCCTGACCACCTAAGGAAAGACAGCAAAGGAGCCAATAGTCCTATTAATTTGAATTAGAAAAGCTGAAGCATGTGTGAACATGAGAGAGAATACCTATTTTCTCAGAAGGCTGAATGTTAAAACAGCTTCTACGTACAATTGCTACACGAAGGTCCTAGCCAGTTTTCAGACAGAGCTGAAAGACAACTTGATGGAAGACAGCTTGATCCGAGATGTAAGTCTGCCCATTTCTCCAGGCTGTTGAGGTCCCTCTGAATGGCACCACACTCATCTGATCTGTCAACCACTCCTCCCAACCTTTTATCATCTGCAAACTCACTGCAAGTGCACTCTGTCTCGTCATCCAGGTCATTATTCAGGATGTTAAACAGCATTAGCCCCAGTATCAACTCTGGGGGTACACCAGTGACTGGACTCCAGCTGGATCATGACTGTGCCCAGCAGTTCAACCAGCATTTAGTTCACCTCACTGTAGAGTTATCTAGACTTTACTTCAGTTCCTGTGAGGATGTTATGTGAGGCAGTGTCAACAGCCATTCTGAAGTCAAGATAAACAACATCCACTGCTCTCCCCTCATCTGCTTAGACAGTCACTTGATTGTAGAAGACTATCCAGTTGGTCAGGCATGATTTTGCCCTTCATAAATCCATGCTGACTACTCCGAATCACCTTCTTGTTCTTCATATGTCTGGAAATGGTTTGCAGGATCAGTTGCTGTATTAGTGTCAACAGCCATTCTGAAGTCAAGATAAACAACATCCACTGCTCTCCCCTCATCTGCTTAGACAGTCACTTGATTGTAGAAGACTATCCAGTTGGTCAGGCATGATTTTGCCCTTCATAAATCCATGCTGACTACTCCGAATCACCTTCTTGTTCTTCATATGTCTGGAAATGGTTTGCAGGATCAGTTGCTCTATTACCTTCCCAGGGATCAAGGCGAGGCTGACCAGCGTATAGTTCCCTAGATCCTCCTTCTTGAAGACAGGGATGGCATTTGCTTCCCTCCCAGTCTCAGGAACCTCCCCTATCACTGGAGCCTTTCAAAGGTAATTGAAAGTGGCCTCAGAATGACATCAACCAGCTCCCTGTGCACTCATGGGTGCATCCCATCAGGCCCCATGGGTTTGTATGTCCAGCTTGTTCCCTAACCTGATCCTCCACTGAGGATGTCTTCCTTGCTGCAGTCTTCCCCCCTGGTCTCAAGAGCCTGAAGGCTGGACTTACCAGTAAAGACTGAGGCAAAGAAGGCAACTCAGCCTTTTCCATATCCTTTGCCATCAGGTCTCCTGCCCCATTCAGCAGCAGACCCACATTTTCCCTACCCTTCCTTTTGCTGCCCATGTACTTGTGGAAACCCTTCTTGTTGAGGCTTTTTCTATTTTTCTATGGTCCTATGTGCCTCTACCCTCTCTATCAAGAAGAACAATGAGTAAAATAGGCAAAGCATCTACTTCCCACAAGACTGAAAATAAGTCTGCTAATCTGGGTTTCTTCACTATGTGTCAGGGCTGGAAACGCCACAGACTTGGAATGGAGTCAGCACCCTGACTGCAAATGGGAGGAAGCAAAGTGCTGGGCACTCTGTCCTGAGCATTGAAAATTGGTTAACTGGAAAATGAGGCAGTCAAATGTACTGTCTACTGAAACATAGGCCTTAATTGTGCTTCAGTAAACTCAGACTCTAGATTGGACATAACATTAACTTCACTATTTCACAGCCTTCTGGCAAAGTATTCAAATTTAAGTATCTTTCTGATCTTTTGATGGAAACTTTTATATATCTTTTTTTTATATATATATATATGCGCTTACATGCACACACACACACATATATACACACACACGACAGTGCCCTTTAAATAGTGACATTTTCTCACACTCACCATCTGGTTACCACACAGGAGTCACAGTAATGGTTTTTTTTCCCCATGTGCAAGCAATACCACAATGTAGCAAATTCAGTCACTGCTAGCTTTTCTATGATGCCCAACACTAAACCCATTAATCTTCTATAGCATATATTAATATAAGATATATAATCATAAAGGGTTTGGAAACAATGTTTATGAAAATTTTCCAAAATATCTGACAACGCAACAGAGATAGCAATCTGACCTAAATAACCAGGCTGGTAGTTTTAGTATCAAAATGAGGCAGAACATAAGAAGGACAGATAGTTCCCAGTTGCATTTTGAATGCATTGCTGCACACACTGGGGTTAGGGACCCAAAGAGTAGAGGATACTAGTGCTAATTTGATGTCCAGGCTCGTTGCACTCTGTTATTCAGTGACTTCTCCTGACTGCTGTCCTCAGGACAACCGCTCTAATCCAGAATCCTGCCTCTTCGTGGAAGGCTCTGCTCACTTGGGTGGTTAACCAGACCTTTGCAAACCAAAGACTTCCCTAGCTGCTCTGCTTTTGGAAAGACGACCTGGAAATGGGTGTTGATAGATCAAGATTGTTACAAAGGGTAAGATGAGCACCTCGCTTGCTGTGGCTAAGTTCTGGGCAGTTTTTAGAGTAGAAAGCAAATGAGATAGAAAGGCCTAATTTCCTTAAGTGCTGCTTAGGTCACTATTTTCCTAGATTTAAGCAAGCAAGAAAAACATAAAAGGAACATGGCAAAAGTATTACTAAGCTTCACACTGGGAGGAAGAAAGTTTTAGTAAAGCGGTTTTCTACATCCCATGGGAAAAACAGTTTGCAAAGGAGTTGAATTGCCCAACCTACACATTACCCCACTAGCTCTTCAAAGCATTTCACACAAAAAATATTTCTGCTTACCTATAAAGATAGGAGTTTTCCTTCTATTACATTAAAACAATCATTAAAAAAGCACAAATTCTACTAATAAATACAAATAGTCTGAACATGATCATGACTGGTGGTCATAGATATGATGACAAAACAGTCAATAATAAATTCTGAACTCAATATTGGAAATTCTTTGCAAATATTAACCAATTCCTGCAAGCCCAGTTGCATGTGGTTTAAGGAAAGACAGACACAGACAGACAAAAAAATTTGCTCAGATCAAACAGAAAATCAAGGGCAGAAATGGATGAGATTTCTCAATTTCAGTCTAATCTGAGGGTTAATTTGAGTTGTCTAATGACTAGTCAACCTGCTTCCTTTCCGTTACACACAGCATTTAGCAGATATGCTGTGTATTTCTGGAAAGGACACATCAGGGAAGCCTGTAGCTGTTGACAATTTGCATATATTTTTAGGGGGCAATAGACACAAAGCCCTGAAAGACAGCAGTTAAGTTTCGTTTATTAAGAGGATCCACCCACTTTTAAAATAACGCATGTGAGTACCGCAAGATTCATTTACTGAAAGACTGAAATAAATTTTCTTCCCGATACAAAAAAGATGGTGTCATAGCAAGTTACAGCATCTCTTCAAAAGTGGGACCCAACACACACCTCAAATACTACATTTTTTGTGATCCAGTTCTGAATAATCTTTGAGATAATATTCCCACCCTTGCAGGAAACCACAAACAAGGACCAAAGGCAGTACAGTTTATCATCCTTCTACACCAATTATAAAGTGGTATAATTTCCTGAGGAATTGCCCCTTTCATCATCTTGCTTTTTAGACATAAAGCTTTAAAGGGAAAACTAGATTTGCTAAATTTGACTTGGCATCTCTATTGCAATTGTATCTATTTGAACACTCGTCACTCCTCGCATTCAGCATTACTGACAACAACTGCAGGTGATTTGTTTAATCATCTGACATTCATTGCCATCCTGGCAAGCACCAGATGCTACAAGAAAGGCGCTAGAAACCCCACAACAGTGGACAATAATGTAATAAACAGCTTTTCAGGAGGCTACCCTTGCCAGAGCTTTTCTTCATTGGTCACTGCACTAAAATATGAAGTTATATCCATTGAAAGCGATGTGACATCCACACTTATAAATGATAAATTTCTTCACCAATCCTGCCAAATATTTTGCCTCAGTGACCTCTTGTGGCAGTGAGTTTGAGAGATATTAGGCCAGCATTGTGGATGACAACAATTCTTCTGTTTAAATGATACACAATTAATAAAAATGAGTAAACCCCTGAATTGGTAACCTCCTGGGGAACACAACCATTTCATTATAGTGTGATCTTTTAGCAATACATACAAAATAGAGGATGCTTCCTTTTTTTTTTTTTTTTTGCTTAATACATAAATACACTTACCACTTTCTGGCCTGAGAGGTAAACTAACAGGCGGACACACGTTAGGCATGGTGTTCTTCAAGTCAGCTAAAAGTGGAAAAAAACAAAACAGTTGAAAAAAATTACACTCGAAGGTTTAAAATGTAATCAACACCTCAATATTTCCAGCATTACTTCTGGGATCTGAATGTTGCATCTTCTCACCACAAACACCAAGAGTAAGGATGCAAAGCTGCTTTGCTACCTAACACTTTTGGGCTTGTACATGAAACCAGACTTCCCTAAATTTCTGTATTTATAAACATTCCTACAAAGATTTTTCAAAGCGCAGTTATTTATGAACAACTCATTTCAGTAGTTCTGTGTTTTTTTCCATGCCCCTCTCTGTATTTGGTTTTCTGCATCACAGGAGACATGAGATTTTCTCTGCTTCCTGATTAGCAAACTGGAATTTCTCAAAAGGAGAATTAGGAACAAGTCAGTTTCCAGCAGGAAGCTTTTCAAATTAAAATTCAAATAATCATTCATACTTTCCACACAAGAAACTTATTTGCTAACATTTCTCCTAAAATTTAGTAATTTTAAATAACAAATAAGAAGTTTCCCCTGTGCATATTTTGTAAAACACTTCAGCTAATCAAATCAGTTATAAATTCTTTACTAAGACAAAATAAACCTCCATTTTAAAGCTGAAGACAGATCAGATTTCCTGTTGCTTCTTCCACTTTGTACTGCCCATGCATGTAACCAATAGATATTTCTTCAAACTCAGGAGTTTTACCATTCACATTGACAGGAGTGAAGAATTGGGGCTATCCAGAACTCTCTTTAAAATGCTACTATATTTTCCTCATTGACTGAGCTGCAACCATGACTATGCATGAAGTTAAATTGCTAAAGAGCAGAGCTGTGTGGTCAAACAGCTCACACGTCAACATATTATGAAATGCAGAGACACAAGTACCTTCCTACAGCAGAAGACTGTGGACTAAAATGAAAGAACCTGCTTCATGCTAACGTCCCACTGTCTACAGTAAATTCCTCCTTCAGATTTCACTCATTTTCCCTTTTAGCCTCAGAGCTTTCTTGTTCCTCTTCCTGTTTCCCAGACCCCCAACACACCAGTACAACTGATACAAATTTTTGTCTGTAAATATCTCTATTTACATAAACATCTGTGTCTTGCTGTGTGTTATGGTGGAAACACACCTGACACTTCCTCACTACATAAGGAAACGTCACCATGTCTCCTAACACTCCCCACTATGCATACACCCCAGGCTCCTCCTCATCATCCCTCTGTCCGTGAAGCGAGCAACATCCTTTATTTTTAGTTGGTTCTTTGTCAACAGGACGAAAAACAATTCCAAGAAGTGGAAGTGTATCTACACCTCCGCCATCTCCTCTTCACTTTGCATTTCTACCATTCTTCATTCTTACCCCTGGTTGCCTCTCAGCTCTGCCAGCCCATAGGCTCCTGCTGTTGTCTACTTTATCAGGGCTGTTGTTCCCTTCCTCTCAGTGCTAGACCCTCAGCCCATCCCTCCCCAAGCCCACACTTAGGGTCTGGGAAACCCTATAAGCTCCCGTGGTGCCCCCTCAACTCCGTGCTGTGTCCCCTCTTTAACAAGGGTTGCCCCACTGGGGGACTAAACGGATGGTTTAGTGGGCAGAGTGCCAGCGTAGGACTTGGAAAAGCTCAGGATCAAGTTCATATTTAGACACTTCCAGTGTCTAAACACTTCCAGGGTTTTCTTTAAGTTTACCAACACTGTAAAATGCAGCGTATTGCCAGGATATCTGATTTAACTTTACACAACTTTAACTGGGTTATCCTTATATCACATGCACTGGACAGTATATATCCACACTTCATGCCTCCCCTCTCCACTCAGATATCAGTCTTTCTCTACTCTGCAAGAACTAAGGGAGTTTAAAAGCAGGAAAAAGTACTCCTTATTCAATTTTTTTCCCTGATTCTGTCAACTTCGCCAGACCTGCCCCCGTGGGGCCTCATTGCTCTCAGTGGAGTTCAATAAGGTTCTGCCCGTGTAGACTCAATAACGGGCTATCCTTCCATAAAGGGGGATACAGTCAGTCAGGCAATTGTTTTCCTTATTGTTTCAGTTATGTTAAACCAAAGCTTAACAAAGTAGAACTAGACACATCCAAAAGGAGTGTGACAAATTACAAACCCATTGAAATTTTTCAACAAAGTAATGGAGCCTTTATTTCGCTATGGAAAAGAAAATTCACTTTGACCAGGACTGGTTTTGATTCCTCTTAGGAAATAACCTAACCTCTCATAACTTCTCTTCTGTTTAAACACGTGATGTCTTCTTACTGCTTGAAGAATACAGTGCTACCTTGGCCCTTTCTTAACCAAAACAGCCAAAAGTGCATTTTAAATTCCGTAACAAAACCAAACCTTTTGAAGTCATGCATCCACACACACCGTTAAACCATAAGCCAAGCAGTGAGAAACAAAGAATGATGTCCTGACCAGGACTGTGCAGTGGGACAAAATATATTTGGATTCTGACATTGGCCACAAGTCTCCCAATCTAAGAAATTAAATTATACCCCTTTGAAGTATTTCTATTCCTTTTCTGTTAAAATGGAGATTAAATTGCACCTTTCTTTCCCTAGCACATACTTGTCTGCCTCATCTATTTTTGATCCTTGCAAATTGGTCCTCCATCTGAAAGTTGAAGTTTCTACACATTGAAGCTAAATAATAAGCTTCAATGGGCAGAAACCAGTCGGAAAGGCCATGCGCCCTGCATCACTTACCAGGCTTTTGATACCAGCCAAATGGGTGTATTCTGACTTCAGCATCTGGTGAACTACAATTTGAAACTTGCCAAGCACTTCTTGTTTCCTCAGCACACATCTGGATTCCTAGGCTGTTCAGAGTCAGGCACACGATCTTTCCACCTGCCAGGGAAATACATGGTTATAGAAATGATGAGGAAAATTTTCCTCTTCTAGACAGTATTTTGAGGAAAGTGAATACAGCGCGGTTCCACTGAGTGTTAAAAGGAATTCCACTGACAGAAATACCTAAGGAAGGAAATACCTAAAATGGGCCAAGTTTTACTGCTGATGAAAATAGTGTTGAAAAATCACAATGAATTCAATGTGAGGGAGGGTGGGTACCGACATTATAACCCATTAAGGTCACTAGGAGTATTTCCACTCAGCAAAGATCGGAACCTCTTTGCGCAAGCAGTCCTTTCTGGTTAATGTAATCCTGGAAATTAAAAATCTGCATGTATGTTGAAACACAGCCCCTACTTACATCAAGATAAAAATTCTGCCTTTCAAAGACCTAGTGTGAATATTTCTGTACCTGAAAAAAAATGGAGGGTTTGAAACAGAGCTAGCAGTTTCATTGAAGATTTATCCTAGCTCGTGTTAAAATCACTACTGAAAGTTCTCTTGACTATATGAATGCCAGGACTGGATGTCTGAAATGTCACAGATAATAAATATTAATCAGATAACCTAAGAGGTGCCAGTTTTGCATGTTCAGTGCTTTAAAATCCTTAACTGATTTTAGAACTATTTAAAGAAGCTGAAAGTCATATTCAGTTAAGACTTCAAATTTCACATGGCCATATGGAGGTATGAAAACTGTCAACTATTTTTGATTTGTGCAGTAATTCCAATCTAAACTATATTGGATTAATTTTCCAAGCTACTCATTTTTGACTGAGTGAACATTTTGTCTGCTCAACAAAAAAGGGAATTAAAAATATGTATTTCTGAAGTGTTCCAAATTCCCAAATGAATTGTAAAAACAGCACATCCTAATGACCTCAGGGAGAGTTGATTAGCACATGACACTTGCAGAAACAAGGTTAGCCATTTTAGTGGCCTAAATCTGAATTTGGAATAAAATATTAAAAACTATTTCATTGACTTTGACCTGGACAGCATCCAATTTTAAACACCTACTAAAGACTTCCTTTTAAACAGAGCACTTCTTTTACAGCCAGTGGAGAGAAATACGTCCAGAATAGGATTCAGTCAACCAAAGCTCTTAATGACCCCATAGCTGTGTCTATACATCTCTCTGCTGACTATAGAGGGAGTATAGGGGGACAATGCCCCTTAACTTAGCCATCTCAGGTGAGTAAAATATGTTTGTTTGACTTTCTAATGGCTTTCAAGTCACGCATACTTTTAAAGATCTGATTTCCTCAGACTAACAGAAATCCTACTTGAGATGTCTTAAGTAGCTAGATAGGCAACCTCTATCCCCAACCAATCTTCCTCAAGTAGAAGACTAAAATTTGGGAGCAGAAAAGTTCAGACATCCAAGAAAGCCAAAAGGCTAAGCTGCCCCAAAGTATCCACGGACATTATGTGCTTAACATGCATTTAATTTCAGTAATATTTAGCTTTCTAAGTTCCTTATGCTTTAAGAAATGAAACAACATTAAAAAAAAAAAAATTACAAAAAGAAGTCAACCAACATTTTGGAAGAGGTGTTGATGAATGAGAAGTAACAGTTCCCTGGAGTTTTATCAGTTTGAATTTCATGCTGTTGGAACTGCAGCCTCTTAAGGACTCATTCTCATGAAGTTTTCTTAATAATTTCTCAGATGTGGAGCATGTCATTGGGCTGAACTTCTAGAAATTATTATGGTTACTCAAAAAGGTGCTAGAGAGAGTTGCACAAGATCTGCAAGGGCTTTTAAAGTGCCCTTCACAGCAAAGAAGTTGTAAAGTTTGGAATAATGAAGGGAGACAAATTATTTTAAAAATAAAAATAGCAAAAAAATACCTGATAGCTGGGAGTCATTAAAAAAGCCAAATCCCGTGCAACAAGGGTCAGCATCACACCAACGCTCACACTCAAAGAAGCTGGGAAAGGAAAAACACCATTACTCTTAGTATCATTAATAACTGCCTGTGTCATGGAGAAGGGAAGAGAGGATATTGCATAGGGGAGAGACACTGAGAACCTGTAGAGATGCCTTTCACGATAAGACTGCTTCATGGTTCTTCATACTGCATAGACGCTTTGATACTTTTTCCATTTGTAGATGAAATTACCTTTGATCAGACTACATCTAATAATTTAGATTATTATTTTGATATCTGCCCTAAAAATATCAGCCTAAATTAATTTGGTGTATTATTGCCAAGAGATTTAACTGACAAACCAGCAATTTAATAGCAGTATAAGTAATAATTCACAAATATATAATTACTAATTATATACATTATTATTTATAACAATTATAAATTTCCTTTCATTCATGTGCTATTTTTTCTTTTTAAATATTCTCAAATAATGCTGTTCTTGGATCAATATGTCTGATCCCCTTTGTCTGCATAACAGGGCCTTGGAATTCCAGGCACGGTTAGACTTCTGGTAAAAACAAAGGAACAGTCATGTCCTACCCATCTGAAACAGCTTTACTGCTCATGTCAGTCTTATTCCTCACTGAGATCCCCGTTACTTTCTGGAATGGTACACGTGTGTAAAAGCTCTTCACAGAACTTTTTAGAGTGACTGGAAGGAAAAAGAAAAACAAAATTGGAAAAATCATCTGAACCTTGTAATTTACATATACTGGTCAAGTAATCACATGGTAAGGGTAAAGTTTATGTTTCTATGCTACAATTGTCTTGATCGATTAAAAGATAATTTTACATTACCACAGTAAACTTTTGATGGTTAAGCCTGAAGATGAACAAAAATCCAACAAGTGAAGGCTCTAAAAGCTGAGCAAAGTACATTGCCAAGGAAAGGCTTCCAGCCCAGGGCTTCTGTTTCTGAGACCTGTATTGACATTAGTCCTTCTGCAAGGTCCAAAAACTTGGGGGCAACTCTAGCATGGAAGACTCCAGTGTGCTCATGCATTATTCAACCTGTGCTGCACTTTGGGCTCCCCAAAAAGATACTATTTAATAGTTAAGTTCAGTGGACCTTTACATTTTTCACAGCAAAACTATAGGTTCCTGTACAGTGATAACAGGTTTGTTTGTCCAGCTTCCTCACATGACCCCTATGAGAAAATCATTGAACTTCCCAAGCATTCAAAGAGCAGAGGTTAAAATCCACGTCTCTAACTCTGGATTTGCTAAAGATAAAAAAAATATTACACTCAATGACTTTCAATTTTTGCATTGCTTAACTACCATGAAAATTTTAATGGTAGAAAATGGGATTGGTGACATCCCAATGACATTCCCATTTCACCCACATTATAAAAAGATCTGAGACCTGTTATACAAGATATTTGAGCTACCCTTGGCCTCTCTGAATTGGGAATAACTGAGGTGGAGAGTGGAACTCACGGTTAATATCTTTCCATTCTGAACTGAAAATGAAAAACCATACCCAGAACAGCCTGACCTTCCCTTGCACCATCATGTCCCAGGACTCATTCATACATTCAAACTTTTTATCTCAGAATCAAGAGCCAAAACACTAGCTTGCATTACCAGGCTTAAAGCACACATTATGCATCCAAATCCCAACACTTGCCTATTTTACGATACAATGTCTGTGGTTGCCAGGGTAGCACGGTTCGACAGTTTTCTGGTATTTGATCGATGCTGCCATCACAAATCTGTGCCTCTGGATAGAGGGTGCACACAGAGTATTTGTCTGCAGCGTTTTGAAGATCTGCCATTCGACAAAACTCATCTTGCGCACAACCTAGGAAGCAAAGTCACCAAGAGTTACACACACATGAAGGTTTCTTCCCCTCTCTATTCCTCTTCATGTCTTCAGAGCACTTAAAGCTGTCCGTCAGCAAACAACTAAAACTGAGAATTTCAATATTATCCTACTACAGTGCAAGAGAAACAGGGACAGATTCTGTTTCTAGTGACACTGAAAAGCAGGTTTACCTGGAGAGCACAGAAAAGGAGCTACACCACAGTTAATTGGAAAGAGACATTCCCCAGCTGTGACAAGCATTACCCTAGTGTATTGGTGTCACTCTAACATTGTGATTCATAAAGATATCTCTCTCTTTCTTTTTAGTAAATTTAACATACAAACTGCATAACCATAAAAGAACTCTGCATCAGTTGTGGGTCTCTTACTTTAAAGAATAAAAAGGACAATAAAGTCTACAATGTCTTAGAAAGTTTTTGAAAAAAATATTTCTGAAGTGTTCATACACCGCACAAAAATATAAACAACTTTTCTAGAATCAACTGTTCAAGCCATTTGCTTGTAGCAATTTGCATTGAAATTTGCCCCAGGGTAATAATGCACCTTCAGAAAAGAAACAAAGCTGTCAAACCCATTTCTTAATTACTGTGGCAATGGCTTCTGTAAATATATATGTCAATGCTTAATTTTAAACAGGCATAGCTCTACTGACCTCTTACAGTGATGTTTGTGCACTGTTTAGTACTCTTGGTTCTGCCTTCCCGGTAGTTAGAGCTAGAAACTCTTCTCCACTTATTGCAGCAACATATACTTTATCATTAACCCCAAATATCTGTATTTTACCTTCTTCTTTTACCACTATGTCATCTATCCATTTGGAGGGGTACATTTCAAGAACGGCAGAGTATTGCCTAAGCTGTATCTTCTACTTCTCTTGCCCGTAACAGGGATACCCTGATGATGAATGGTGGGTACCCTTTCTGCCACAGCAAACAAGATTGTAAGGAAGAAACAGGTGGCCCCATTAGCAACTTCCATGAAAATTTTGTGGGTTTTCCCCGAAAAATCTCTAAGTCCAGAGTTTCTACTCATCATCATTATAACACCTATTAAAAGATTTTAATTAATTATTATGCCCTACAGAATAACAGTCTCCAAGAGGTCTTACGTGTGAGACACCAAAGCACAGCTTCCTCTGCTGAGTACTTCTGCCTGAAGACCCAGTACTGCTGGTAAGAGAGAGAAGAGTTCTGGTCACTTCGTATCCGGCTGTTGTCCATTAGGTAGAAAAGATCCTTTGTGGAATCTGAGATTCAAACAAACAAACAAACAAACTGCTCAAACCCACAAAAAACTTAACTATAATCTGGAATAAATTAAATTTATTTATATACAAAATTCTGCCTTTCACGGTAAAACAGCTGCAACCATTTTGTAGGGCTAGCATACACCACAGGCTGCTTTTAATAACAGAATTGTCCACCCACAGTTATTGATGCTTGTGTAGGCAATGCCTCCTCACCGAGCTGCACTGAACCACATAGCACTGTTAGATTATTTCCACCACCCAAAAACTAGATGAAAATCACAGCTCCTAGAAATAAGAAGGTTCTCTCTACTCTGTCATGCAACACATCATCCTAACAGTGAAGTATGATGCCTCAGAGGATGTTTACAATATCTCAATCAATCTAGTTTTATTAATCCAAAATACAGCAGTATCCTTATATTCCCTTGAGAAGCTTTTACACCTCTCAGTGTTAAAAAGTTTTCTTAACAAGCTTAACACTTATTTCAGTCATTTAACCTTATTTCTCCTAGCTTATGCTCCCACAGACCACATTAAAGAACTCCTTTCTGACACCTGCCTGTGATCTTTAGACGTGTACACAATGCTTTATATCTTGTGAGCTCCCTCTGAAACAATCAATCACAGCTATTTCAGGCTGTTTTCAAATTAATCCCTTTAAATAAGTATCCAATATTGAAAGAAATGGACACTCTTCACCGATGTCTTACAGATTTCTTCATAAACACCTTTTTATTTATCAAATGCCATCAGCAGGTCTCATCCCCAGTTGAGATGGGGATGAATCTCCAACATTGTGAGAGATTCTATTATTTAATCTTACTTGCATTGAAACAGCCAGACAAAAATGAAAATAGAAAGTAAAAACATGCTGATGATTGCAGCTGAAATGCTGGGAGTGCACAATAGCTTTGAATTTTCAGTCAGAAAATAGAAAAGATATGTTACCATGTGCTTTAAGAATGATCATCAAGTAATAAAAGCTCTGTAGACATTTTTCCAGATGTATCCATAACTTTTTTACGAAGGTGACTTATAAGTCTTGTTACCTCTCAAGACTTAACTTCAACCTTCAGTTTCTCTTGTGTCATGACTAAGACTGAGGGATGGAGGAAGAAACTGCATTCCTTGCATAACTTCAGGTTTTAGTGATATCATCAGCCGCAGCAAGGTAAATGGAGAACCCTGAGGGCTGCACCCATGCCTTGGCAGGTAAACGCAAAAGAATTTCACCCAATATATTAAATGCATTTTTTTCTCATTTTTAAGTCTAGACTTTAAAATACCACTAATTGTATAGGAGCACCACTAGGTAAATGGGCATTTTAGTTTACCTTTCTTTCAAATTACATTAGCAAAATCAGCAATTCACTTCATGTTAAGATTTTACATGTATTAAATCACGTGCTCAGGTATTCATCAAGGCTCCTCAGCAAAGATTACAGTTCATTAGAGATGAACCAAAGTGCTCTCAACAGGCTCCACTGCTCTCTTTCTCCTAAGATTATGGTGCTGAAGGCCCAAAGGAAATCTAGTAACTTAATACAAATGATTTTGGATATATAAATGACTGTATAATGAAGAGCAGACCCTGGAATAACAAAGGAGCTAGAGAACTTCACAGGTGCCTCACTTTCATCATGCATGGAAGAAACACTTGTGATTGCAGTTTCATCCTGAGTTCCTCTAAGCATCATATTTACAGTCATATTGTCAGTAACAGTAAAAATGCCCAGGCACCCAGGCTAAGGATTTGATTCCTGGGTTTATGCGAATTTTTTTCTCAGCCACATAATATTTCCTGGGTCTTTACAGTTCAGTAAGTCTGAAAGAACAAGCTTTCACAGAACATTTTAACACTTTCATTTCCAGCCTGGCCTGGGAAGGTAAAAAACAGAAAGACAGGAGGGCATTCCAGGAGGCTCACATTTTTAACACCTTTCTCAAAACCTGTATCGTATTCCTTACCTAAGAGAAATTCTCTGGATTTCACAATACCTACATCATTATGATACATATATGGCAATATATGATATTTTCTGGTTAAATTCTGCACCTCCCTCTGCTATCTTCTGCTACCTCCTCTGTCTGCCCTTACTATGATACCTGATAACGTTAGATCATTCTCTGTCTTCAAAGCAGTAGCATCGCACTCTGAGGTTTTAGTCCGGGTGACCATATCGGAGCCTGGAATGCAACAGGAATTAAAGAGCATAGTAATTCCCTTTTTCTTTCTTCCACAAGACAAGATCATCTTTAGTTCCCTCAATTTAGCAAATATTTTAAAGTGCACTGTTTAGGAAAATTCCTTAGGTAGTTCCACCAACTAATGAATCAAAAACGAGTAAAACCATCTTCGTATAACTCTGGGAAAAACCTAAACCAAAACACGCTGTTTGGAGGATAAAAGCAAATGCCATATCCACAATCACTATGCATTCGGCATCAGTGCTCTGGAGGCTGTGTGCATTTATAAAGCGGTATCACAAATCTTTTGTGCAGGTCCTGCTACGTAAGTTGCGGCATTCAGAAAGTAAAATTGCAAAAACAACACATACATAGTTATCATGCTAATAAAAGTAACCCATCTAGTTACATATAATGTGCCAAATTATGATGGTACCTGGTCATTGATGGGACAAAGACAAGTGTCTCCATGATACCATTTTTCACCAGTATTAAAAGTTATAAAGCATATTCTCAGACACAAGAATTTACCCAAATTTTATGAAACTGACAGTAGCAGCATTACTCCAGATTACATCCGCCCCTGCCAGAAGACTTTCAAGTAACGTCTCAATTTGGACGGTATAAAATAAAGGGAGAATGACACTTCCGTTATAGAACACACAGTTCACCATAAGCTTTTATAACAACTTCTGTGAGATAACTCACCTCTCCACAGATAAACTTGCTGAAAGGTAGTAAAATTTCTTTCTGCCTCTTCTGCCAACTTAGAAGCTAATAAAGGAAAAAGTTTGTTAGAATAGCTGCTCAAATTAAACAGCTAGTATTGAAATGCTCAGAAATTGCATTAAAAACACATCACTAGACTATGCATTACCTTATTTACAAGACACTAAGGAAGAAGGACCCAGGTGCCCTGGGTCCAGGATGCCAGGTCTTTACTCTATTTTCCATCATTGCTTTTTCTGTGCAGCTCTGGGCATCTATCTTTTTGCATTTGCTCCAGAGTTTACCTTTCTTTCAGATTATTGGCTTGAATCTGCCTAAATTAAATATTGGAAGTATTACAGGGTAACATACTAAAACCAACACATTCTTGACTTTCATTAATATTCGCATAGTAAAGTGTGAGAAGTCCATGTATCTATCAATGCATCCAATTAGGGAGTTCTTATTCTCTTGTGATTGTACAGATATGCATTTACTTGAGAAAGTAAAGTACACTGAAGTACCAGCACAGGCTGGTGAAAAAGGCAGAGTCTACAGAAGAATTAAAGAAAAGTAATGTAAATTGAAAGAATTCATTGACATACTTCCACTGAACACTTGTCCTCCCAGGTTGAAGGAAAACATCTTCTCTTTTTCATCATAGCTCACACCTTTACATATCCCATCTATGGCAGATGTTGGTGTTGGACTCCAGCCATTTGCATTGCAGATCAGCACGTCTGGGTAGCTCATCAAACTACACAAAATGGTACCTAGGTTCAGGCAAAGAGAGTGTTGCATCACTCCAATAATGCTTTGCACCTACACAGAGCTTTTCACCCAAGCATCCCAATACTTCCTCTAAATGCCAATTGAACCTGTGTCACTGAGAGAGATACCCTTCAGTATTGCTACCCAAAAAAAAAAAAAAAAAAAGAAAATCAGAGCCATACGTTCAAATTGGAGTACTAAGGTTAGCTATTCATACCTAAAACAAACATTTGTAGCCTGCTTTTCAGAGATTTCGAGCACATACTATAACCACCTCATAAAATACTACTATTATCTGATAATACCCAACAGTGTTCTCAGTACTTTATAGCACCATGAAGACATATTCAATCCTTTGGCAGTCTTACAATCTCAGGCTCTGAACCAAGAAAGCACTTATATTTTTACTGGGATGGTTTTCTGGATTGGTGCCTGATTTCAGTCAGCCCAGGCCTGAGTCTCCCCCAGCATCGCGGTGTGAATCGGGGGGACCAGCACGTTTAAGGCCAGGTGTTCCGGTGTCAGTCTATTACCATAACGTCTAGACAATACTCAGCTCTTGCTTTATACTTGCTGTCACAGCTCAGGCATTTCTATGGTCTTACAATGCCCTCTCTGGCTTTTTTAATTTTTTTTTTTTTTATGGACTGGGTATACGAGAAATTGAATGTGCTACTTTTTTTTTTCTTTTTCCTAACAAAATGCTAGTCCAAGTAATGCATTTACCTGTATTATTGATCCAAATAGGTCACTCCAACTAAACAGCGGGCTCTACAACATTCACCTTCTCCACACTCCCTTCTAAGCTCACAAGTGCGGGGAACCCAAAAATTTGATTGTAAATACCAAGAGAAATAGACTTTACAAGATTACCTAGAATATTTTGATGCAAAAAATATGAGATGCCAAAACAGAAGATAAATTTCCTGGAAACATTTGCTTGACAACTTCCACAGAGAAAGTTTTCTCAAATCCAGGATCAGTTTCCACTCAAAACTAGAGAAGTGCTTGCCACATAGCGGCCAGTAGCACATGCCTGGATTTGGAAGAGCCCATCTTTAAAAGTTTGAGACATTTCAGTTAGAACTTCACATTTCCTATAGGAAATGCACCTCCAACAGGAAAGTTGATCCCATGTGAGCTTGAAAAGAAACTACAGAAAGCAGGCACTGACATTAAGTGCTTAAATTTGCTGGCAGAAATCTGGGCTCTGCCTAGGTCCCACCTCTGCCAGACTCTGCCCATCCCACTCCCACTTGCTCTCCCAGCTAGACACCCAGACTTAGGAGATTATAGCATTCCTGCATGCAATAACATAACATAATGCCCTGTTTGGCATCCTCTTTTCCTGTTCCAAAAAGGGAGTTGATTTACATTTGCACTACAAGCACTCTGGAGGCACCATCTTAATTCCGCCATCAGCTGAAAGGCACCAACTTCTGGCAACTGAGCTGTGTTACTTAAGGAGAGAGGCTGTTTCAGAATGATTTATCCCATCAGATGCAGATGTCTAAAGAAGGTCAAAAGAATTATCCTTTCAGAATGTCCGTTTCTCTCCAAGAGCAGCTTGCCACCTTGGGTCTTTATCTCTACTGCTCCAGGCCAAGTCTTGGGCATTACTCAAATTCTGCCTACACTGAAAAATGTCAGCGATGTAGAGGCAAGCTGCTGACACTCTGGTATGACACAGAGGCAGGTATACTGTGTCCAAAAAAGAGTTCTGCCCAGCTAGCGTTGGTTTTCTACTGCAGAATTTTTTATTTTGCAATTAGACAATACCTCCATCAAGTGCAATCTGACTCAAGATGAAGCCATCACAGCAAGAGTCCCTGCTGCAAGTCTGCCGACAGAAGAGCTGAGCATCAGTCAGAGATGTGCTAGCTGCTGAGAGCGCCACGGAGCGATATACGCCAGAAAGCACATTTTGAAAACTGGTCCTTTCAAAGGTCTTGAGTCCAGATGAGTTAAATTCTTGTCCTGGGTATACAGAACAGGAAAGAAATGTTCAAAAGAGCTCAGGAGGAGACGGGATGCTTTCAGATTGCCTGCAGACTGGAACTGATTGAAAGTTTTATGATAAAAACTCAGCCTTAAAAGTCCTTTTCTGGACTTTGAGTTTCAGATGCAAGATAAGATCATCAAATGGTTTGGTGCAATTATACCTGGGTAGTTGGTCAGAATGTACTGCCAGGGTAGGAAAAACAGTCTACTGTACCAGCAAAGGGCTCCTAAATCAATGTACTCAGTAAGGTTGGTAATATTCCACTTTCAAGCACTACATCAATAACTCCCAGGTATAAATTAAACAAACTTATCTCGTTAAAAAAGTAAAATGCGCAATTTGGCCAGCATAACTGCATCTGCAATTAAGGCTTCTGCTGACTAGGCACATATATAAGAGGACGATTCTCATAATCCTGGATCTAATTAGCAATATCAACAGAAATCTAGAGTAGATCTGGTATCAACGAGATTACATTGATTACAAACAAGCTCAGGGGTCTTTTTTTAGGTGAGATTTAGCTCTTTATTTTTATTATTATTGATAAATGGCGACTCAGAGGTTTGGATAGAAGTAAAAAGAAACCAGTGACAGCAGAGAGTTTTGATTCAAACCCTGCAGCATTCTGCATTTGGTTGTCTTGTTTCAAATTTGGCATGAGGCTTAAAGTTGGACACATATTGGTTGGGACATGCAGTGGTGTCAATCACACTTAGGCCAAAAAAATGTGTCTTGTACATTTATCAGATCAGTTGAATCACTTTGGGATTTACTGGAGAGCAGGGTATTTCTCAGCTGGTATATCAGTAGGACAATTTACAGTCAAAATTAACATAAAATGTTAAATTATGTACAAGCTGGTCATTAATAACACCTTACATAGTCAAATAACAAACTTTAATAAAGAGAAATCATGGTACAACAGAATAGAATAGAATAGAGAATAATACCTTGGACAAATTTTGAGCTTTTGTGGGACTATCTGCCATCACAATGGCTTACAAAAGCTGTATTCCTAATTTCTAGGGAACAAGACATGAAGGGAAGATTTGCTGAGGTTTCCGGGCTATCACTAAATGTTAAGGTCTGAAATGTATTATGCCTCTTGAACAAAGATGCTCTCCCACATTTAGTCATGATCCTATATAGAACTAAAAGTTTGGGCACAGCAGTCTAACATTAGATGAGTGATTTGCATCTGGTACCTCTCTTCAAATAGACCATCACTGCATCTCCCTCTGGATTCCTGACATGAAGCAGGCAGCTGAGACGACCGATGCTAGTGGCAGCGGGGTTCCCCAAAACACCTTGCACCTGAGACAGAAAACAGGCATGCACAATAAATACAACCTAATTGTTTTCCTCTCCTAAACACCATTTTCCTTATTCAGAAAGTCAGGGGGAGGAATTAGCACACACGGTTTATAACCACCGCCGCTCCATGTGGCCCAGCGTGGACAGTTTTTATTCTATCAAACAGATCTCTACTCTTCAGTGCCACTTTCCTGTGTTTAAAAGTAGTGAATAGGAAGCTGTTACAGTGCTAAAGAGCACTCTATTCAAACCCTGGACCAGAGGAAGGGACTGAGAAATGATGACTGTTTCAGATGACTTGATTACCGACCTGGAAACTTCTAGTTTGGACTATCCAGATGAACCCCCGTTTTCAAGTTAACCTGATTTCCAGACTGCGGGAGCTCAGCATGTTTTTAGAACAAAAGTGCTGAAGTCCTGCGCAATGTTTCAACCAGACACTGAGGCATTCAGAAGTCAGTTTTGGGAAGATTTGGGTGTAGCTTCTTTACCAACCTGCAGGAATTTATTACTGCCATAGTGAAGAGCAATGTCCAAGGGATCAGGTAACAGCTTGCCTTTCTTCTGTGATGCCTTCTACTTACATTGAACCTACAGTATTATGATAAACACATATTTTTAAATATGATCATTTTTACCGATCCAGAGGTGGTGCAGTTGAAGTTGACTTCAGCAGCGCTGTATAATTCACACAGAACTTCAGCACCAGCAGGAGTTACGGTGGCAAAACCACATGCTTCTTCCCTCTCACAGCCTGAAAAACAGACAAGAAACCTTAGGTTTCCTAGCACTTCATGTGCAAAATTTCTGCTACAAATTACACTGTTCACTGGTTTACTGTCATTTACCTGGTTTTTCATACCTTTATCAGACTGCAAACCCATGAATTTCATTAGCCAGATGAACTTTACTATTCAACTATTCCAGTAGACAGGTTTTTAAATTAACTTAAATTAATGCAAAAAGTTGTTTGGACGTTCATCACCTGATGATACAAACAGCTGAGATAGGTCTAACCACCCACCCAAATATTTAATGTCTGCTGGATACTTTTGTCTGAGGCAAAATTTCATCTCCTGTTCTAGGAGCAGAACTGTGGGAGCAAGTTAGTGGTGAGCGTGCAAGAGCAGAAAGATCTTCAGCCACTCCTAAGTCTGGAGGGGGATGGCTGCTTGCTCACTTACACTGGCCAGGTGATTGCTGCAGAGGCAGCTGGCATGACTGAAGAATTTGACGTTTCCCTCCTTCCTATCACTCCAGTATTTGTCACAACCTGTTTGCCATGGAGTTACTGTATCAGGCAGATGTGATATGCTGGCAAAGTGGTTCAATGTTTCCAAATGTTGTTAGTATAAAATCAACCAGCTTATAACAAAACATCAACAGAAATGTAAGCTAAGCTGTCTGACTTTGTTGGGAAGCAGAGAGGGAAGGGTTAACTCCTACTCTTCAGTGAGCACCTCAACAGTAATATTTTGTAGTAGTGTTGCCATTTGACAGTGGATGTGAAAATACAGGCTATGTGCACTGAATCAGATCGCTTGTCAAAGGGGCATCTCTTCCCCCCTAAGTTCATTCCCATGGTCCTCTCAGCTCAGTGCCTTGCTTTTGAAGGTCTCCAGTTTCAGAGGAAGGTGCAAGAAACGTTGCAGTGTACAGCTAGGGGATGATCTGGTGCAGGACAATCATTCTAGTAACACATATAAGGCTTCATGGATTCATCTCTTAGCATGAGATGACTGTTCCAGCTAGACCAGGGTATGTGACACAAAGTCACTGACTTTGTCCGACTTTGTCTAACCTACAAACAGGCCACTTGTGTTATTGCTGCCAGGGTGTTTTTATTTTGAACGTAACCCCTCTGCCTCTCTTCACAAGTCTGAGCATTAGGAGACACAAGGTAAGGCATTGATTCAAAGCACCCTGAAAGCAGTGCAGTGATTCGCCTTGATTTTAGATGACTTTGAATCAATATAAACCACCAAACATGATGTAGCCAGATGTAAAATAGCATATATGCTGTAAGGCTCGGCAGAGGAATATCTCTGCACTCCTTATAATATCCTTCTGATGTAAGCAAGGATAATTATTGCTCTTTTATGTGTCAATCAGGTAATCTGGGAGAGGTGAAAGCTTGGTTTTCACATGTCCTGAACACCTAATCCTTCTTTTGTCTGCGCACCTGAAAAGTCTGATGAATGTTTCCTGGTCTGAATCTCAGCTCTCATCCATATTGCAAACTATACCAACTGGTATTAAAGTCAGATGACTTGTCTAACATGGTACATAATGTCAGAAGACTTATTTCTGAAAGAAAGACCAATCTCTTCCCTGAACCAATGTCAACAAAAGTTGTAAATATCTTGCAGTGAGTTGGTGCTGAACTGCAAAACATATAGTTCACCTAGGAACTTAACCATAAGCTCATCATATGAAAAGATTATTATTTTCCATGATGATTAGTGTTGTCTCTACAGATTTTCTGAGAGTTTTCCTCACCTGAAATGCACTGAAAAGCTGGACTTTGCAGGTCTTCCCCAAGTGACTGAGACTGAAGAATTTGATCTGCTTCTGACCCATAAATCAGTCTGGAGGCAGGAACTCTCTCAAATTTTCTGAGCACTAAAAAAAAAAAACAAACCCAACCAGATACTATCATCAGTTCCCATGCTGCAGAGAGACAAAGAGACTTTAGGTAGAAATAAAAATTCACAAATTCTGTAGGGAAAAAGGTTTGCTTATTAAATGATGTACCATAACTCCACAGATAATGCAGGAGACAGCTGGACTGAGGATATAATTTCTATTCTGGAAAAAAAAAAAAAGTGTCACAAGACCTTTTAAAAACAGTCAGCCAGGAGTGGGCTGAGAGTTTATTTTCAAGTGAGACTTCTCTTCCAGCAGCAGACTGGCGATCTCCCATTACTTGTTCATGGCGCAGAACCAACTATTGAGTCAAGGGGGGAACCAACTTTCTGCAAAACAGCCACTGAAACAAAAGCCAGGTCCAACAGAACTTGGCTAAAAAGGAAATCTGGGAGACCTATTACTTGTGTATAGGAGCACACCACCACTGATCTCCACTGACTTCAGGCTCAGGGATCTATCCAAGGTATGTCCTGCACGCTCCTTTTTGCCTCCTTCATTCAACCTTTAACTCCTGTTAAAGGACTGTCACTTTACTTACCAAACCCTTTTATCTACTCTCTCTGAATTGGACCCACTGTACCTGAGTGTAAGGACGTGTGACAAGCAGCACTGTTCACAAACGGGGAAAAGCTCGTAGGGTCTAGAGATGCAAAACCCAAAGGTCACTAAATGAGACGAGGAATCCAATTTAAGCTCCAGAAGGTCTGGCCCTGGCTGTGCCCTGAAGAAGATTGTGTCTTCTGTGAAGTCTAGTGAAGGGACACACAGTGGCACCACCACTACCCTGCTCAGGTTGCTACTATCGGTATTACAAAGGTTTTTCGGTACAGTGTGTCCACCAGCTGATATACTAATATCTTTCAGTGAGCACAGTATATTAAGGAGAAGGGAAGAACATGGTGACTTAGCATCACCCCTGTGTTGACCAGACTTGTCCTCTAAATGCCCCAAATTAATGCAAAACTCTGGCTCATTGCAGCCAATGCCTGGCCTAGACCTAAAAGAGCTAAGCAGCAGGAGCTCTGGTCTGATCTCAGCCCATGGGAAATGTCTGCATGTGGAAAAGCTGGAGGCTCAGCCCTTCTCTCCCTTGCACACATGGGCACAGAGTTCCAACAGGAGGATCCCGGGCCTCTGTCCCTGAAACGTCTGGATAAACCACAAAATAAAAGTCAGGGATAAGTTCTTAAAACAATCATTTGTACTCTTACAGCAAAACAGTCAGGACTAAATCAGAAGCAAATGTCCACTGTTGTCAGGGCTGAGTCAGCAGGTGTTTTTGATAAAACCATCATTTCTGCTCAGAAAAAACACGAGGGCTAGCCAAACACTTAACACACAAAAAAATCCTCTCACTCTGGCTTGGCTGGGGAGAGGGATGAATGATGGTGTAAACAGAGGTGGAAGTTTTTTCCTTCCTAGAAATACAGGACACCAAAATATAAGCATTAGCTTAATTCTGCACTAAACTGAATTCCTTCTACATCTGCAACTTGCAGTGATGCCTGGTTAAAAACAGAATTCACGTATTTTCATAAAACTGAAAAGAAGCAGTGTTTTTATGTTGTTTGCAATTGTTTGCTGCCCTCATTTCTAATGCAAAATTCAAAATTAAAAAATGACATTTTTAAATGCTTTTCTTCTTTTCTGATTTTTTTTTCCTAATTCTGGCTTCATCCCACCCCTCAATTTTCTCTGCAATAATGTGGGAGAAAAGTAGAAAAGAGATAGATAGTGTAACAAAACACTAAACTGAAAACATTGCAAAATTAATAGAAAACCTGCCTGTTTTTAATTCTTGAATTTTGTTTTTTAATATAAAGAAACGTAAAAAAATTTTGTTCATAAAGCGACTTTGTAAAAAAAAAAAAAAAAGTACAATGAAAAATATTCTACCGGCTCACATTTTCAAGAACTTGTTAGTTCACATTGCCCCCTTCTCAATAGTAATATAACTACTCAACCATTTCACAGGCTTAGTCCGTAGCAGAAATTCTCCTTCATCTTGTGTTACTAGAGAGTAAAGCTCTAGATCCCAACCCTGTTATTGCAATAAATGTTAAATGTGGCTTAAAATATAACAAGAGAGAGAACAATAAGAATGAGCATGGGTTGTTACAGCTTGTTACTGTACATTCATAAAAGGAAATTCTTCCTCCCACTGCAGCCTCAAAAAACAAAGAACAGTTGGTTTATTGACCCTGCCCAATTGCCAGCCTCCTGTCAAAGCAAGATCGGTCTTCAGACCCTGCTGCCTTGTTGCATGCTGAATTCAGTTAAGGGAAGTAGAGGGGCAGGAAAAAAGTAAAAATAGAGATAATCAGTTTCACTTTATACAATGCTTTCTGGGAACGCAGCATGATCTATAGAAGAAAAAAAAGAAATTAAATTAGCCTGTAAATTATTAAAAAAAAACCAACCAGACTTCTTGGGTGTTCCTTGTTGTTGTTTTTTTAAACCTTAAATTGTCAACACTTATAACTATTTATTTGTAGTGAAATCTTCTAGCATGATCCACAAAAATGTGCACAGATATCTACAACTGCTCTGTCCTGGACAGAGTCAGAAATACTTACGCAGGAGGGCTCAAAGTAAGTAACAGGAGAATTAAGCTGCTGTGAGTCCTCAGAGCTTGCATGCCCAGAGAAACATCCCGATTACCCCGTGACTGAGAGCAACAGAGGCTAACACCTCGTGTTCATAACTACAGTCCGTCTCCGAGTATGCTCAGAGAAAAAAATAGCTATTTTCATTGAAGATAGTTTTGCAACCCCTTCACAAACGAGGGCTTTCATTTCACACTCCTTCCACAGATGACACTTGTCATAAGACATTTTCTAATTCAGAGCACACCATGACATCAGTTTCTAAACTGAATATTCCATTAAATTCGATACCAATCGTATGCTGAGTAATAAAAACTTCTGGGAAACTATTTTTGGGCAAGGCAAAAGCTTTGGGGCTGAGAAGCATAATTAGACCTTACTGCAGGCAGTTTGGGGACTGTTTGATGAATGACTTTTTTTTCAAATTACTCATCCTTGAGAACTGACATTTCACAACTGTGTTCAAGCAGGAGTAAGTTCCCCCAGCTTGCAAGGATATGTTCACCAAGTCAGATACCATACAGCAGGAGCCCAGAGAGTGACGTTATGCTGCGGCTGTGAGGTCATTGCCAAACACAGTCTATTTCACATGAATGCACTGATGAGTGATAATTTTACAAAGAAATTCATCATTCTGCTTCTTTCCCATTAGCCCTCTCATTATTCTTCTGGATTTCTAAGCAGAGAGCAGGAGATCAGCATACATCAAAAGCTGTCAGCCATCTGAGGGTGCGAGAAACCTGCTTCTCTCTCTTCCCTTACAGGAAATTACTTCTCCAATGTAGTCAAGAAATGCAAAATTAAGGAGGAATGTGGCTTAAGGCAGAGGCCACAACTACGGGAAAGTGAATCCCCATAAGCTGTGGAGTGATGAGCTTTTTCATAAGGAGGTTTCACTTATGTGGGGTCAAAACATATCCAAAATATTCTTCTGACACTTACCTAGGCACTGGTAGTCTGTAAGGAGATCGTCTGTTTCAGTCCAGTCCAGGGCTGCTCCAAAGCTATCAACACAGAAGGATTTCTTAGTGTCAGGGTCTTGCTGGAAAGGTCTATACTGGCCATCTTCATCACACTGCAGACCCTGCTCATTGCTTTGACAGTACGTGATACCTGTTACAAGTAAACAAGAAAGAAAAAAAAGGTACTTTGATAATGCTGTCACTGGGTTTCACAGACTGGTTCTGGTTGGACGGGACCTCTGGAGGTCACCTGGTCCAACCCCCCTGCTCAAGCAGGGCCACCTTGAGCTGGTTGCCCAGGACCATGTCCAGATGGCTTTTGAACATCTTCAAGGTTGGAGACTCCACGACCTCCCTGGGCAACCTGTGCCAGTGCTTAGTCACCCTCACAGTAAAAAAGTGTTTGCTGATGTTCAGAGGGAACCTCCCGTGTTTTGGTTTGTGCCCATTGCCTCTGGTCCTGTCAATGCAGTAGGACATTTCAATGCTGTAGGACAAAAGTGCTCTAAGTACAGCAGAGACTTCACTGAAAATTAATGTATAACTTGCATTGTGTTTCATGCTCTGCAACATGGTAATCTCACTGCTTTGTTGTTACTGCAATTCATATTCCAAACATTTTTAGGATTCTCTGCCATGGATCAGACCTCATTTATGCCAAGTACTGTAAAGCAAAGAAGTACAGAGAAGGAACTGTATTTTCCTACAGGTTTGTTCAGTACCTACTGCAATGGAACCATGAAATATTATGAACCACGGCACAAGAGCCATCACATCAATTTGCTATTTGTTGCCCCCCCCTTTTTTTTAATTCTCCCTTTCAATGGGAAAGAAAAGGTCTTTGCACTCTATTCTTAAAGAATGAAGAGCTTTGACTTTAGTTAGCAGCATTTTCCCCAACTACTTAATATTTTTAATGATTTAGAAATCTTTAGAAACCAGGTATCTGGGCTCCACAGAGAAAGAAATGTGGAAAATTGACCAACATCGAAGGCAGCAGCAGAGAATCCCAGGTGGACTAAGCCTGACAGGTTAACCACCTCAATGCCCTCCTTCTGAGATACTACTGAAGCAAGCGAGGTTTATCTGTGTATGAAGAAACCACCAGAATTTAGTCTGACATATCAAAATGTGGCAACATCAGCATTGTTTCAATTCAATGCACCGAGCCAGGAGCTAAGGTAATTTAGGAAATGCTTCTCATGCCTCTCAGCCATCCTTGCCACAGAGGCACAACCTCTGGGAGGACAAAAAGGTAAGCAGTATAGAGAAGAACACTTCAGCCCCCCAATTTTCCTGTGCTGTGTTTGTGAGTCAATACTTTCCTTTTTTTACCTGGCAGTTAATTCAGCAAACTCTTCAGACTGTATAAGGAGACAGCAGAGAGAGAGAGACAGAAAGACAGAAGGGG